GAGTGTATCTTATAAAGGAGTCCTATACTTCACAGCGCTCAGACCGCCGGTACTCACAGGTTCATTGACCGGTCACGAGGGCGAACCTGTCAAGACGCTTGTATAACTTCTTTTTCTTTTTTTTTTTTCCACAAGCGACAGCAGAGGGCAATTTTTAATATTGATTAATTTTCAAGGCGACACACCGTTCATAATGCACAACCTGCATGTTACAAATGTTGCGTTATCTATCACGACTATTACCGGAAAATTTCTGGGCGGTAAAGAAAGCAGATCTTGATTATTCCCGATCGAGCCTCGGTGTCACACATACACTTCCGTCACAGCGGTTCAATTACATTTCTTCTTTAGGATTCATCAACCATACAGTCTAGATAGCTGCACATTACACAGGCCCTATACTTTCCCGACTTACCGACCCATCACAAAATTCCTGACTTTTTCCCGACCTCCAGACCCATCTAAAAATTCCCGACTTTTTCCCGATTTCCCGACCCTGTGGGGACCCTGAGTTTAATTTTCCACTGAAGAATGGCACAATAAGACTTCCTCTTTTGCTTCACTTTTCAACCAACAAGACGACAGAAATAAACAATCCCTTTTATTCCAGCAGTTGATATAAGAAAAATCTCGCACTTTTGTATAAACCGCGCTGGCTACTCACAGGATTCCTACCATGAACTCCCCATCATATTCAAGGAGATTTCAAGGAGAAATTTTTTTAATTCAAGGAGATTCGGTCAAAAAATTCATGCCGTTTTTTACGCTGCATTCGCACCCAGAGAGCCTATTTCTGATAGGCCTACATTTGTCCAAAAGGAACCATAGTTTCGATTTTCCTACAAAAATATTGTTCATGTCCGATCCGGCGAAATTCAAGGAGTTTTCAGGAGATTTTTCTGTGAATGTGAATTCATGGAGTTTTCAAGGAGATTTTTCTTTGAATGTGAATTCAAGGAGTTATCAAGGACTCCTTGAATTCAAGGAGGTGGCAGGAACCCTGCACTCACATCCATGTTGTAGAGCTTGAACAGGTCCTCAAACAGCAGCGACAGCAGCTGTCCGGCCAGCTCCAGCCTCTTGTTGCCATAGTAGTCGCTGTCGTCCACCTTGATCCGGCCCGCTTGCGTCAGTACGATGCGCCGCACCATCAGGGCCAGGTACATCGCCTTCTGGTGGAAGTTCCACTCCACGACCTGGTGAAAGGACATTGCAATCATCAAAGATCTAATCTATGACCTGGTGAAAGGACATCGCAATCATCAAAGATCTAATCCACCGTCTGGCGAAAGGACATCGCAATCATCAAAGATCTAATCCACCGTCTGGCGAAAGGACATCGCAATCATCAAAGATCTAATCTACGACCTAGTGAATGGACATCGCAATCATCAAAGATCTAATCTACGACCAGGCGAAAAGACATCGCAATCATCAAAAGATTTAATCCACAACCTCGTGAAAGGACATCACATCACCATCGAGGTTTCAATCCATATCCTGGCAAAATGATATCACGATCAAAGTTCCAAACCAAAAACTGGCCAAAAAACCCGTGTCAATCAAAGGAATAATATGACCAGTGATGTCAACACAAGGTGCTAACTGGCAACAACAAAAATTCAGGAACTTTACAGGCTCCATGAAAACATGAGTGAGAACTCAAAATCTATGAATTATATTGTCTAACAAAAATAAATTTAGATTACAGTCGATTCACTCTACAAACTTCCTACACAAAATCTTTTAGACTTACGGGCACGTGGGCTAAAATAACGTTTTTCAGAACATCTCTCCCTTCTTCAGCCTTTGACCTTTTGGAACCCGGTGCCCTCTTACGGATCTTGGCTCCGATGTAGTCCAAGGCCTGAAACAAAAACAGAAATCATCAACCAGTTTACCTTTACTCTTTGAACAAGGAGAAGCCCATTGAAACAATAAGGCCATCGAGTTCAGAGTGAATGAAAGCAAGATACACAAGACAAGAAAGAGTAGAGGTACAAGCTACCAACGACACTCTCGAAACACCCGCTTTCACATCATTCAAAACAGATCCTGTTGAGTTGCAGTACATGAGGTGTAAAGTTAGTGGCAATTTTTTTTTGGGTCGAATACAAAAGGACTGTAGCAGACATGCCTAGTGAATGGTTGGCAGGTACTCTGATGTGGTTTGCTCCTTCTTTCCAATCAAAGATCTGTTGCCCTTATCTTTCCTCCTTTCTGTTGTATGTTACGCTTGAGCAACACTTTTTATCTTCAGCACTTATATGACCTATGTGCGTTGGGGATGCCATAAAACTCTTACTAAAAAAACAAAACTAAGACACGCACAATAGAGGCAAGTGGAACAGAGCACACGAGAATGCTCACCAACCATCCACAGAGGAAAAAAACAGAAAATTCTGCAACAGCAACCAGAACATGTATGGTTTACCAGAAGGTCAACTCATGTATGAAACAGTATCACTAGTGTGTCATGTATGAAACAGGGAGCTCTCGTGGCCTAGAGGTTAAGGTGTTGGCCTCTCATTCAAAGGTCCCGGGTTTGATTCCGGGTAGCGACCAAAAAATTTTCTTCTCTAAAATTGTCTCCTTTTACATCCTTTCCTGATCTCTAACAATGTTCTGTTGTCTGCTTTCATTTCCACTTTCTGCCCCCACCCCCTCACCTCCTTTGCCCCCACCTCTGGGCTCCTGACTCTTTCTGCAGCCTTTCTACTGCTACTCCTTGGCTCCTCCTAACTGCTGTCTTTCTGCCACACCCCTGATCTTCTGGTAGGAAAGATCTACACCTAGCCTTCTCGGACAAGGGCGAAAAATCTCGGAGGGCCCGTGTGCAAGTTGCGCAGGGTAAAGATCCCTTGGTGGTCTAAAATCGATAAGAGTAGGCTTCGGCCGCCACCCGGGCAAAATTCAAAATTTCCTACCAACGAAAAAGTATTAGGTGTGTCCCGCGCGCTCATATGACCTTATGCAGTTGCGAGCGCCGTAAAACCCTATACTAAACAAACAAAACAAATGTATGAAACAGTATCACTAGTGTGTCATGTATGAAACAGTATCACTAGTGTGTCATGTATGAAACAGTATCACTAGTGTGTCATGTATGAAACAGTATCACTGGTGTGTGATGTATGAAACAGTATCACTGGTGTGTCATGTATGAAACAGTATCAGTAGTGTGTCATGTATGAAACAGTATCAGTAGTGTGTCATGTATGAAACAGTATCAGTAGTGTGTCATGTATGAAACAGTATCAGTAGTGTGTCATGTATGAAACAGTATCACTAGTGTGTCATGTATGAAACAGTATCACTAGTGTGTCATGTATGAAACAGTATCACTAGTGTGTCATGTATGAAACAGTATCACTAGTGTGAATGCAACAACTTGGTCACTCCGTGAAAAACGCAACTACAGTGACAGACACAACCCAGGAATGATCATGACATACTGAAAAAAAATCTAAGCAGAGATAGAGCCATTCCCTATTTTTTACGTAAGAAGAAGATTACCCCAATAAAAAATTTTTTTAAAATATATAGAATGGCTTCTTACAACTGCTTAGAATTTTGTTCAGCAAACAATCATCCCCCACATTACGTTTGTCACTGCAGTTTCATTTTTTCATGAAATGGCCCAACTTTTGATAGAGCTAGTACCAGCACAAACCTTACCCCATTTCAGACAGGTACAGCAAGTAGAGCTGAAAGAGTGGCATCGGTGGCCTAGTGGTTAGGCTTCCGGACTCATAATCGTGTCCTTGGGAAAGGCACTTTACACAAATTTCCCACTTGGCTAGGTCCTTTCGGAGATGGACGTTTAACTCGGAGATTCCGCCTCTTAAATAACCTAATAGTGTTGATAGCGGCGTTAAACCTGTACCATTTCACCATTTTTTTCCACAAGAGCTGGAGGACACTTCAACACACAGGCAATCAATATTGTGCCTGGGAAATCATAATTCTTTGCCAGTGGCGTAGGCAGATTTAGTAGTTAGGGGCTACCACACTTGTAATAGTGAGATTGCGAGTCCGGGGGGTGGGGGGGGGGGAGAGGAGAATCAGCATATCTGATGTATCCTTGGGAAAAGTATTTTACACATAAATGATTTTCCTGATTGGCCCAGCCCAATTGAAGATGGATGTAAAAGTCTGAGATATTGCCTCTTCAATAACCCTACAGTACTGCAAACAGCTTTAAACCTATGAAATTTTGTCTGTAAGCTCACGGGTATGAAGTATCCTTCCGATAACAATAACTTGAAGGAGGAGGAGAAGGAGGAGGAGGAGGAGGAAGAGGAGGAGGAGGAGGAGGAGGAAGAGGAAGAGAAAGAAGAAGGAGAAGAAGAAGAAGAAGAAGAAGAAGAAGAAAAAGAAGAAGAAGAAGAAGAAGAAGAAGAAGAAGAAGAAGAACAACAACAACAACAACATCAACAACAACAACAACATCAACAACAACAACAAGAAAAACAACATCAGCAACAACAACAACGCACCTGCTGAGTGGTGTAGACCTGAGCTCTGTGGCACTCCTCGATGCAGGGTGACATGGCGTCAAAGACCTCCTCCTCGTTCCCCACAAACTGCACAATGTCCTGGTCGCACGCCACGCCCATGGCTTTGAACGCTATGGCCACCGGAATGTCCTGTAGAGAAAGCACACAAACATCACACAAAAGTGTCAGTGCTTGGGCGTACAGCGGTAAACGAATCGCGACTGAGTCCTATCTAAAACTAACTCCAACTTTCTTATTTTTGGGAGATTTTGGCCAAGCTCTAAAGGTTTTTAAAAAATCTTCCCTTTTACCTAAAATTATTGTGGTAAATGTCCGTGTTCTGTAGAATTTCAGCTCCACTTTGTATCAACTCCCATTTTCTTGACTGGAATTCAGTGCTTTCAAAGCAATTTACGTCAAAACCGAAAAAATGGGAGTAAGTGCAAGAGGGCACTTAGCTCATAAATTATATAAGATGGATAAAAGCAGATTAAGTAATACAAGACGCACTTTACTCAAGTGTCTACAAAGGCTAAATTTTCTGAAGTTAGTGAATAAAAAAATAAAAATTTTTAATGCCTCTGATACAATGGATATGAGTTTGAGGAAAGAAAAAGCCCACCAATGTAAAAGCAATCATTTGGTGCAGGGAGACAGCAAGACTGATAGGCAGAAACACCACAAGGAACGGAAAGAAGTAAGACCCTTTTTTAAACAAAAAAAATGTTTTACGGCGCTCATAACTGCATAAAGTCATATGAGCATGCAGGACACATTAAACATTTTCAGTTTGGAAGGAATTTAGAATTTTGCCCACGTGGCGGGTGAAGCCTACTTTTATTATCAATTTTAGAACCACCAAGGGATCTTTAACCCATGCAATTTGCACACAAGAACTTCAAGAATTTTTCACCCTTATCCGAGAAGACAAGGTGCAGATCTTACCTACCATAAGATCAGGGGTGCGGCGGAAAGACAGCAGTAAGAAGGAGCCAAGGAGTAGTAGTAGAAGAAGTCGGACCTATCAGTGGCGTCATTCAACAAACTTTTAATACAACGGCGACCATTATTCTTTAACTTATCTATTTTTTATCACAATAGTAACCGGGGATCCTATATTCAACTCATTAAAACCCCACTCTAGTTCATTCCCAAAAAGCCCAGTACTATGAACAATGATGTACCCAATACTCTGTACCCTTTTTCATTCTCAAAAGTAGAAAGCAGTTTTAAAAAGAAACCCCTACAATTCCACATTCATTTCTTTTACTATGGTGACTCACAGTAACAATTTTATTTATATCACTGCAAAATGGAAACATTTAACGGCATAAAAGCATAGAAAGCCTATAGAAAAATGACTTACGTCACTGAATATGTTGTGTTTCAAGTAGAATTTTCCTTTCTTCACATAAACGTACGTCTTACTCTTTCTCTCATGGGTGGAACTGAGGGGGAAAAGAAATGATAATAATAATAATAATGATGATGATTAAAAAAAAATTTTAAAAAATAATAACAACAGTTGATCCATTAATATCTTCGTTGACCAACGTATCTGCAGAGGAGAAATGTTGTTTTAAACGAAATAGAAAAAAATTAAGGGTTCAGACAACTCGTGGCTTCTGCCATGGCCAGTGAGACCATTTCTTGCACAGAGAAGAGCTTGGAATAATTATTTTGAGCATTTAAAAGACTGGGGTTTGATTCCAGTGTGGGGAGACTTTGTCTCGAATACATAGATCTTTCTACTGGGACAATATGTGAGCGTGCCTGATGAAAGGTACCAAAAGACGCATTTGTTCGAACCGAGATTTCAGGCTTCAAAGGTAAAAAACTAAGTTCCATTAAAAATGGATTCTTAAACCATTAATATATCGATATTTACAAGGACTTGAGTTTCTTTTACTTTAAAATACATTTTAAAAGATATTTTATGACACCAGGTATATTGCATAATCCCCAAAAAATGCGTGAGAAAATTGGTTTCCCGCATACACACTGCCGTTGGTTTCTCTTGTCCATTCATAACGTCAACCCAATCACATTGCATACCAAAATTTAGGTCATTCTCTCCCCTCTCTAATGGCGAGTAGTGCGCATAAATATCTAGAACGTATAAACAAAGCGAGGCTTTGCGCATCCACACCCTTTCGTATTTTTTAAAGAGCAAATTGTATCGCATATTTCTTCACTGCCCAAACCTAGATCTAATTTCTTGAAAAATCTTGCTCAAGGTTGTGGTGAATTTGTTTTGAAGACGTAATATAAACATTTTGAAGCTGTTCTTTTATTTTGGCTGCTTTTTAAAGATGGTCTGTGAGTAGTGAATGTGCTGTAAGGTCGTCTCGAAGCGTAGATTTATCTATTTGAAGCAGAATCAAGGGGGAAACTTTAAAGCCGTTTTTCTCAAAACTTTGTTTCCGTACCCTGTCTTACAAAATCACCCATATCTCAAAAAAGTACTGAAGATATCTTTAAAATTCTAAAAGCACATTGTTCAGAAATGACCCCTTTACATGTAAATGCTAAAAAATGGGATTCTTCAAAATGCGTGAATTGATACCTTTCACCAGGCACACACACATATATCCCTCTCAGTCAGGGTAGGCCGAGACAGACAGGGTCAAAGCCGGGTCTCCTAAACCCTATCGCTACATCGTGTTTTACTATCGTATCCATATGACGTGGGGAACTCTGTGCCACCACTTTCCAAAGAGGAAATTTACTCATTAATCTGATCCGTACGCTTTGCATAGCAGTCTGTTAAAAAGATTTTTTGAGAAATGCTGAAAGTTTCAAAGAGATCTTTGCACTAGAAGTATTCCCAAAATGTGAAGAATACAACCCCGGGGGTACAAAATGACCCCAGGACGTACAGATAGGGTTAATTATCTAAATTGTGTTGATCAGGACAGCAAAACCCCCCCCCAAAAAAAACCAAACCCACCAACATTTTAAAAAACCAACTTGAGAAATTTCAAGGCAGAAACCCTAACACAGTGAACCAGAACGGCTTGCAACTCCAAGATAAAACTAGGAGCTATCCTTCAAAATCTTCCCCAAAAATTAGTAGTTTGGGGAAAATAACCGTGAATCTCCAGAAAAACAGTAGATCACGATTACATACTAAACTGACCATTGCAAATACACACAAATAGACGCAATACAAATGAGTATTTTCACTTCATTTACGATAGGTCACTCAAATATTGCAAATGCACAAATAAAATACACATTTTCATATCGCATACCACACGTCGAAAACATAATTCAAGAAAAAATTAGGGTTTTATGAAAATCCTATCTGGGTTATTCTATGGGCAAAAAGTATATAGGAGTACTAGGCAGGTCTTGTTGTTGTTGTTTGTTTTTGTAAAGTGTTTTACAGCGCTCGCAACTGCATAAGGTCATATGAGCGCGCGGGACACACCTAATATTTTCAGTTGGTAGGAAATTTTGAATTTTGCCCGGGTGGCGGCCGAAGCCTACTCTTATCGATTTTAGACCACCAAGGGATCTTTACCGTGCGCAACTTGCACACGGGCCCTCCGAGATTTTTCGCCCTTGTCCGAGAAGGCTAGGTGTAGATCTTTCCTACCAGAAGATCAGGGGTGTGGCAGAAAGACAGCAGTAAGGGTGAGCCAAGGAGTAGCAGTAGAAAGGCTGCAGAAAGAGTCAGGAACCCAGTGGAAGGGGCAAAGGAGGTGAGGTGGTGGGGGGCAGAAAGTGGAGACGAAAGCAGACGACAGAACATTGGTAGAGAGCAGGAAAGGAGGTGAAAGGAGACAATTTTAGAGTAGAAAATTTTTCGGTCACTACCCGGATTCGAACCCGGGACCTTTGAATGAGAGGCCAACACCTAAACCTCTAGGCCACGAGAGCCCCCCTAGGCAGGTCTGGTGAACACAATACTGCACCTGGTGACTGAGCACTCGGTGTTCCCCTTGTGGTCAATGTCCACGATCATCCGGTTCTTGGACAGCTGCTCCTGGATGAGGATGACCTTCTCCGTGCCGCGGATGATGAAGTAGCCGCCCGGGTCCATCGGACACTCGTTCAGCTGCGCCATCTCGGCCGACGTCTTGCCAGCCAGGATGCAGTTGGAGCTACGCAGCATGATTGGCATTCTGACGAAAAAAGTACCACCCAAAAAAAAAGGATAGATTTTTCTTTAAGCTTTTTTTAAAGTAAGAGTTTTACGACATTCTGAAGAAAAGGTACCGCCCAAATAAAAAGTATAGATTTTCTTTTAGCTATTTTTTAAAGTAAGAGTTTTACGACATTCTGAAGAAAAAGTACCACGGGGAAAAAAAGAGAATTTCTTTTAGTTTTTTTTTTTGGTAAGAGTTTTACGGTACTCTAAAGAGAAAGCACCACCAAAAATAAATAAATTAATAAATAAAAAAAGAGTATAGATTTACTTTTTACTTGGACAGCAAAAAACAGGACAAAATTATTCTCATTCTCCTTGGGGAACGGGTGGGGGCAGGAGGAGGAGGAGTGTGGGAATGAGAGAGAGAGAGAGAGAGAGAGAGAGAGAGAGAGAGAGAGAGAGAGAGAGACAGAGACAGACAGACAGACAGACAGACACACACACACACAGACAGACAGACAGACAGACAGACAGACAAAACAACTCAGAGGTTTGGGCTACCAACAAAACTACCACCCCACAACTCGTCAACCACGTACAAAAATCACACAATGTGAGCAGAGTCATGACAACTCTTCCCACATCTCCGAGCCAACACTACAGACCTGCCAATCTCCACATTCTTCCTGATGACAGTCTGCTTCCCGCGCACAAATTCAATATCGACTGTGATGGGTGCGGAGTACGTAATATCCCTGAGACGACACTGAAAATGGATAAAAACCAGACCACATTAGTAAAGCACTCATTTCAAGAACGCACATTAGTAAAGCACTCATTTCAAGAACGCACATTAGTAAAGCACTCATTTCAAGAACGCTCTGTTCCTTTTTTTGGAAAGGCAACAAATTTTTAAGAATCAAGCTCACCGATGTAAAAAAAAAGAAAGAAAAAGAAAAAAAAAAGGAAGGAAAGCTTTTAGTTTTAGTAAGAGTTTTACAGCACTTGCAACGCAATAAGGTCATATAAGTGCCGAAGAATAGATGTGTTACAAGAGAGTAACACATACAAAAAAGAAGGAGGGGAGATAAGGACGACAGATTTTTGATAGGAAAGAAGGAGCAAACCACACCAGAGCACCCGCCAACCACCCATCCAAAATATTAACAAATTTTGTCACCTGTAAGGAATATTTTTTTCGCCAGAGCAACAGACACCATCTAGCAAAATGAGGAAAATTATGAAAAAGCTCTTCCATACTGCTCGAACCATTTCAAAGTACACAACTGCATGCTGATGGATCGGTGGTAGGTGTTATAATGCTGAATGATGGTGCTGACTGACAACCCTAGCTTAAACCCCCAAAGAGGCGCATCCTTCGGCCTAGTTTATGGGAGGGATTTTCAAGGCCCTTCTGTCAACTTGGCTAAATCCTTTATTGAAGATGGATTTTTAATTTAGTAAGAGTTCTAAAGGCGCTCGCAACTGCATAAGGCCATATGAGCGCCAGAAGATTAGAGGTGTTACAAGAGAGTAACAAACATAAAAAAGAAGAAGTGGAGATAAGGACGATAGTTGTTTCATAGGAAAGAAGAAGCAAACCACAACAGAGCACCCGCTAACCACCCACTGAAGATGGATGCTGAATTCAGAGATACTGCCTCTTAAATAACCTTACAACATTCAGAGCAGCATTATACCTGCACCATACCACAACAAATACTGGTCAATGTGACCGCTGAAAAAAGAAAAAAAATATCCCCTCACCTCATGAGGGGAAACCGTTTGTGCAATGCCCAGATTTTCTTGCACATTGGGCATTCCAACATAGATGTTGAGATATCTGAAAATCAAGAAACCTCCAATTAATAAGGGGAGTAAAAAGAAAAAAAAATTCCAGTTGTAGTCTGTTGCTTTGAATAAATTACGCACAAGCCTGGTGAAATTATAGCTTTTCAGTGTTCCGAAAAAAAAAAAGAAGAGATAGATAAGAACAAAAATAATTGAAAACTTGAAGAAAAATCACCAGCCCTTAAAAAGCGGTCACTTGTGAAACACAAAGTTGAGTGGGAAAACAAAAAATATTCTTTTTTTTTCTTAGAGTTAGAGGAAACACATAAAGGTGAACTTAGAACCATATACTATGATATAAAATAAACAGGAAACTGAGATTTCATTTTCAGACCGATGATGCTTTTTTTCCTCCTCCAACTCCTATTACTGTTTTCATATTCAGCTACAGCATTAAAAATTGTGTAAAATAAAAATAAAATGATATGTAGATTAAAGTTCATTTTTCCTGAACTGTATAACATTGCAAGGTGAATCTTTATACATAGTAAAACTCTGAATACATCAGGTAATGAATTTCATCAACCAAACTTTAAGTCACTTATAAATAGCACACTCACTTGAGGTAAAAGTTGGGATCGGCATCACTCAATATCTTGTCGTTTGCCTTCATAATCTTTTTAATCTGGGTAGGTGAGATATAAATTATTATAATAAAAAATAAATGTAAAAAATCACAAGATGCTATACTGAAGAGGCCAATATTATTGAAATTACTCTAATGAAAAAAATCTCAAGTTCAAGCCCTTTCAAAACAAAACAGTCTTAATAAATCCACAAAAATGACAGAGGAGAAAAAGGCATATTTTTAGGCACACATCTTTGCAACTACTGAACGATCAATGCTTATTCAAATCTAAAAGAAGAAAAAGTCAAACAAGCTTATTTTGCACTTTTACTTGAACAAGTCATTCATATCAGCCAAGCAGATATGTGATGCAGAAACAAACCTCCACATTGGTGAAGTAATTGAAGGAGTCGATGTGCTGTTTCACCAGTCCTTTCGTCTTCAAGAAAGCTGGCAGGAGTCTCCATTTTTCCTAGGGGAAAAGAAAGCCAGAGAAAGGTGCAGTGTGATATCTGGTCCCTCAAAATTTACACGTCTTACAAAAATAGCCTTTTCTCTCCATATCAGTCGGAGACTACTAAAATAAACAGAGGCAGACGAGTATAATTATAATACAGGCTCGCCTGTAACTGAATTTAACTTTGAATTTATGAAGTAGGCCCTAACCAACTGCTGGGTTGATGATAAGTAGCCCCCCCACCCCCCACCTCCACTAAATTGCTACTGCTACTTTTTTCAAACGATCTGAGTCAAAATATAAATTCAAATGAAAGATGGTTCACTTTTGTCTGACTGCATTTAAAATTTACATAAAATCACATCGCTCTGTTTGATCTTCTTACATCCTTCCACACTGGTCTAAAAGTTGGATGAACAAAAGAATCTAATTTAAAAGCCCATTCATAAAGAGGCCAAGTCACTGCAAGCTAAGTTTCCAACACATTTTCTTAGATGGTAGACTAACCCGAGTAAAAAAAATAATAATAGGAAATGTACAGCATGCACAGAAAACATTAAAGAATCGTTGACAATTTTCATCAAGGCCGTCTATATTCCCACCCCTGGTGAGAACAGCCCATGACCCGCAATGTTTACTCCCCCCCGGACATGAACAGTGGAGTTGATCTATATTTTTTAATGTAATAGTCTGGCTGAAGTTCGGCCTGCTTCAAGCGTTCCACCCCATGAGATGAAGGAGCGCATTTACAGAATTAAAGTCCGGATATGGGATATTATGGAAAATTACGATGCAGACTTTTGAAACAGATATATAACAATACGATCGTCTTAAGCAGATCTTTGCTTAATCAAATCTTTAATGAACAACAAATAAAATAATAATGTAAAAACATTTTCCGCTTCTCCAGTAAAAAATGTCTCACTGCCGACGCTACTGCGCGGGATGTGGGAACGGCCGCACTATTCGTTATTTACACCCTTAAAGATGGTAGGCCTCTCTGCTCTCTGCCTGCACACAATAAATTATGGTTCAAGGAACAGAGAGCCTGTACCAGCCTAACAAGACATGAGCTCGAGACTATGCTCTTGCACAACGGTAGAAGGGTTCTAAATTATTCAGACCAAATGGGTGAGAGCATTAAATCTTGTTAACTAGTTTAATAATTATAATTAAGCAATCCAAGCTCTTTTCTTCACTTTCATTTTTAAAAAATATTTTCTTTATCTTTTCTTCTTGCCCCTCCTTTCCCCTTCTTTTTGAACATTCAGAATTTGGAGCCAAAAAAATTCTCCAGGCCGGACGCAATCCAACAGAGCCAAAATTCTGGGATTTGGCTCCAAAATGACAACCCTAACTGTGACACGACCCCCCCCCCCCCCCCGGTGAGAATAACCACTTCCTTTCATCAACACCACACTTTAATATAGGCCTATGCCATGCCTAAGAAACATGGTCCAACAAATGGGCGAGTACTTTTCAAGACTCAAATGAAGACATTCAATCCAAACAGCCTTGGGAGCTATTAATCATTTATTTTAGTGATCTTGAGTACATATACCAAAAGAGCATTTTCAAAACGAAGTGTATACAGATCCGGTAACCGGGAACAAAGTCACGAAGTATACAGACCCGGTAGTGTGTGTGTGTGTGTTGAGAGAGAGAAAGAGAGAGAGAGAGAGAGAGAGAGAGAGAGAGAGAGAGAGAGAGAGAGAGAGAGAGAGAGAGAGAGTGTCCATTTTGTGCGATGTGATTTAAAAAAAAAAATCATTACAGAAAAACTATAACACACAACAAAATGAAATTAAACATGTGGAAAGACAAATGGTGGTGGAAGTAATGATGATGCTGTTGTGGTGGTGGAAAGACCATGGGTTGTCGGTTACCGTGTCGGCCTACTTAAGACACTGCCGTTTGGTACATCTAATAATGAGAGAGCAGTCTTTTGACTTTTGACACAATTACACAGTCCGTAGGCACTTCTAGTTCTAATTCTGGTTTCGCGTAAAATCCCCCGATGACAGTTATATTATGTAACCTCCTTACACTCACATAACTCGCTTAAGCCGAGTCCGAATAAATAAATAAAAAATTTTTTCGGACCACAGTCCGAACAGATAAAACCCATATTCGGATTAGAGTCTGAATAGATAAAAATTAAATTCGGAATCGAGTCCGAATAGAGCTGGCTTCCCCCCCACCCCCTCTCTCTCTCTCGCTGCCCACAGACAAAATTGCACACTTTCAACACAAAGAGCACTGGAACATTTGTTCACGGTGAAGGCACACGGGTGAGAATAGCCAAAAGGCTCGCCTGCGCTATTCTCACCCGGGGTGAGGTGGCCAAGTGACTCAAGTGTGAATTAGTTATTTTTACGAAGTGACTATTTCAATTATTTTATTTCTCCGAACGCTCGGGAAAATAAAGTTGAACTCTACTTTTCCGAACGGTTTCTGATCTCGAGATTTTTTTGTAATTTGCAAGATTTAGGCGTCATCCTTTCTTAATTTCATTCTACCATTCTGCGAGGACTGGGAGGAAGCATTTTTTGCATCGAATTCAATTTTTAGAGCTAGAGATTTTTAAACGTCTGAATATTCAGATACTTCAGTTGTGGTTGGGGCAATGTTCCTGGACTATACTTCATTTGAAAATACCCTTCAAAAGGTACAGCGAGAAAACAAGACTGCTCGACCTTTGCAGTACCTATTTTACATTTAGTCACCCAGCAAAAACTAAAAGGCCGGCTCTATTTCTCCAAACGTTCGGGAAAATAAACTTGAACTCTATTTCTCCGAACGGTTTCTGTTCTCGAGATTTGTTGATAATAAGAGAATGGAGTGGCCCGTGTGTTTGTGAGTGTGTGTGCAACTGTGTGTGTTTGTGTGAGTGTGCATGTGCGTGTGTGTGTGTGTCTGTAAGGTGTGAACGGGTGGGTGGGGGGGGGGGGGGGGCGGCGTGGAGGAATTTTTTTTTTTACATGAAGGATTTTAGTTTTTGCTGGGAGACTAAATGCAAAATAGGTTACTGCCAAGGTCGAGCAGTCTTGTTTTCTCTCAGTACCTTTTGAAGGTATTTTCAAATGAAGTATAGATCTAGTCCGGGAACCAACCACAACTGAATCTAAATATTCAGATATTTAAAAATCTCTAGCTCTAGGTTCGGCACCAACTTTCAATACTTTCATTCTGCCATTCTGCGAGGTCTGGGAAGGAGCAAATTTTTGGGTCTAGATCTATTTCAATTTTCAAAAGCTTGTCTAGAGATTTTTAGAAGAGTGTAAAAACGTGAAAAAGAAAGGTTTCACAACAGAATGAAATCAAAATTAGAACAGCCCATAAATTAACAAATAAGGGCATATGTGTCCACCTGTCCGAAGAAGATTGGCTGCTTTAACCCTAGGCCTAAATGTGCGTAATTTTTAAAAAAGTACAGGATATTACACATGTAAATTATGGAATCACACACAAGGGGCCTGCCAGAGTCAGTACATGTAATAGGTTTTGGTGGAACTCTCTAACATAACACATATAAATCTATCTATATATATATATACATGTATATATATATTTAGAATCTAATGAAGGTAAGAACATCAAATTAAATAACATTACACTATACAACACCCCCCCCCCTTCCCCAACAAAAAAAAATTAATTTTAAAAAACCCATATCAGAACAATAACAAGAAAAAAAATTACACACCAACAAAATAAAACACCGCAAAGAGGAAAAAATAAAAGAGGAACAGCAATACAAACCGTACGTAACTGTTAACGTATGGTATTCAAAAAATCAACATGGTGACAAGTGAGAAAGAAGTGAAGCTAAGTGAACTTTCTTTCAAAAGTAAAGAGGTTCGGTTTTGTGTTTTTTTCTTTTTTAAAAAATATTTGACTTTTATTCCCCCATTCGCATACCAAAAAATGCCCCAAAAATCAAGCCACGATTGATTGGTCGCGGCAGCGACAAACGCTGGCTAGTTCTATGAGTCGTTATCAATAACCCTCCATAGATCTAGACAGCACACGAGTGAACACAACACATTCATTAAGTTTACGAAGTGACTATTTCTCCGAACGTTCGGAGAAATAGTGCCGATCTTTATTTCTCAGAGAGGTTTCTGGCTTCCGGTCTCGTGTTTTTTTGCCTATTTGCGAGAGTTCGGCTCCACGGAAGGAGCAAATTTTCGGGTCTAGATCTATTTCAATTTTCAAAAACGTGAAAAAGAAAGGTTTCACAACAGAATGAAATCAAAATTAAACAGCCCATAAACAACCACAAAAATTATCAAATAAGGGCGTGTGTCCACCTGTCCGAAGCAGATTGGCTGTTTTAACCCTAAATGTGCGTAATTCAAAAAAAAAAAAAGTACAGGATATTACATGTAAATTATGGAATCACACAAGTAGTCCCTTTCGTTAATCCGTTTTAACTGCGCAACGTGTTAGAGACATTTGGCTATGCACATTCAATTGTATGTGCATAAAATAGTTGTTTGAGAGGGGGATCCATTTACTGGTGGTATTTAATTAGGCGTGAGAGCTAATTAAAAATCACTCATTTAGCTATTTGACCAAAACCGCGCACCATACAAAAAACCCCAGCCTCCCATGCCGGATGTGTAGCTGACAACACTTTTCCCCGCTGAAAACTCAAGCTTGAAAACTCAACACACACACGTTTCCGGTAGACCTACGCTTCGTGGACAGGTTCACAGAGCTGCCGTTTTACTACGATTATAAGGCGCAACTGTTGTGAATAATTTTTTAATTTAGCCAAAAGACTAAAGCAGAGAAATTAAATACCATCATAAGCACTATAGAGTAGAGAAATTAAAAACAATCACTGCAATAACAACGCTAACGCTAGCAAAATAGGCGAAAAAGTATGGTGCTCCATTGTGACCACAACCTACTAATTCTTTGGGTACACCAAATGCAGGATATGGCGATTGATGACAAACAGCCGTAATATTCCGTTCTTAGACTTTGTTTGAGAGTGAGTGTTTTAA